CAGTTCCATGTCCTTATGGTGTATAGCGTCTTCAACACGTATACATAGTTTCATGTACTTAAGGTGTATAGCGTTTTCAACCCATATGCACAGTTCCATGTCCTTATGGTGTATAGCGTCTCCAACACGTATGCACAGTTCCATGTACTTAAGGTGTATAGCGTTTTCAACCCATATGCACAGTTCCATGTCCTTATGGTGTATAGCGTCTCCAACACGTATGCACAGTTCCATGTACTTAAGGTGTATAGCGTTTTCAATCCGTATGCACAGTTCCATGTCCTTATGGTGCATGGCGTCTTCAACACGTACACATAGTTTCATGTCCTTAAGGTGTATAGCGTCTCCAACACGTATGCACAGTTCCATGTCCTTATGGTGTATAGCGTCTCCAACACGTATGCACAGTTCCATGTCCTAAAGGTGTATAGTGTCTTCAACACGTACACATAGTTTCATGTCCTTAAGGTGTATAGCGTCTCCAACACGTATGCACAGTTCCATGTCCTTAAGGTGTATAGCGTCTCAAACATGTGTATATAGATTCATGTTTTCAATGTATAATTGCTAAACACGTCGCTCGTGGCGCCGCAACACACCTTTGTATATAGAAGACGTTCTACGTGCGATTTACTCCCCCGTTGGTTGAGGTAATTACACACGGACAACTAAAGATAATGATACAAGAGAAACACGAACTTTGGTATACATATTTTTACAGTTCATGTCATTTCACTTCAGTCATCATGAACAAGAAGGTTACCATAAGATGTTACCAATGATACATCGGTGTTCACACGATGTAAAGTGTAAAAAAGTATTACCAGTGATATGTTGGTGTTCACACATTTTAAAGTTTAATAAGTGTTACCAGTGGGATATTCACATGTGAATCACAACATACTAAGCCTAGTCTTCTGAAACAAATTAAAGTGTTTTTAAAGTTTTGTTTAACTAACAGTCATCTACCACAGTTTCAGGCAAACATTTCCCAAGCTACTTTGGAAAAGACTGCTTAGATGGAACAAAAAGCACCTATTAAGTCATTAAAGTATAAAGAAGCTGTCTTTTGAAGTGACATATTGTAATATATTTTGTTCTTTACATTGTCCACATATTGAAAACTAGATTCTATCTGAAGATTGGTATTTATTTTTAAATTGAAAAATAAACGTACATTTTTGTTAGTTACTAACTTGAGAAGTGCACAAATTCAGAATTGTTATTTTTGTATCAATATGTATTTATCATACTCTTTTGATGGATAAAGAGAATACTACGATAAGATGTTTGTGATGTGCAGATTTTACTTTCAGAATTCTCAAATATTTATGATGGCTTTTAGCTAAAAAGATTAAAATAGTAAAAACAACACACACATCATGAATTCACAAGAACAATTTATTATAATTAACCCATAAATACCAAGTCTCACGCTACTCTGGTTTAGATAGAAAAATATTTTAATTATATAAATAACTTGTTCCATTCACTGCGGTTGGTGGCTGGTTTTTCCGATCTGTATTTGGTCATGAGACCCGGGAAGATCGGGTGTATCCTGGATCTCTACCTCCTTCCTTTCATTACATGGATGTAGTTGATGAAGCCGGTATTGTTCAGTCCAGAAAATCTGTTTTAACATCATGCGCGCTACAATTGTTTGTAGGTTAACGCACAAGCGAGTGACCCTTATCAGGGTATGTCCATGGACGTAAAAATAAACAGTACTAACCTTATTCTTACTTAAATACATTTAAAAAAATATAACTAACACTGTATGTTGGTACCGGTTTGCCCAGTAGTAGGTGGCTGTAGGTTACATAACGAGATTATTATAGTACATTCAGTGGTGAGAGGTATTTAGGCTATCTTTATCGTGTATGATAAACCTTTTAATGTGCTTAGTGAAACATTTTTGTTCAATTTTTTTCTTGAAATAGTCTATTGATCTACTTAGAAGTCTGTGACAACATATGGATGTGTGCGTAATTGCATAGAAAGGTTGTGTTTGTGGATCTGTATGCTTTAGTGATTATTGAGCTTTGAACTGTCTCTGGTTTGTTTATATTTGATTTAACTTTGAAGTTGACCAGTAGGCATACTCTACCACTGGACGTATATATGTTTTATAGATTTTTAAGTTGTTTTCAGTTGTTGCCAGTCAGACTCGGTACATAATTTGCTCTTTGCCATATTATATTTCTAATTTCATTTACATGTTTGCTCCAATTTAGTTTTGAATCGTAAGTTAGGCCCAGTAATTTGGCTGTTGTGGCTACCTGGAGAAGGGTTTAATTGGGGTATAATTTTGGAGGCTGTTTACTTGTCTCGGTTGATTTCGTGAATAATATAATTTGTGTTTTTGAGCATTTATTATGACTCTCCATTTCTTACAGTAATTTTCTATTTGGTTTAGTCGCTGCAATGGTCGGAGTTTACGAATTCCTTCATATAGCCACATCACCTGCAAACTTTGAACAAAACCAGAGATTTGGATCTAACAGAAGCATTTCACTCACATACATGATGAATAGTATAGGGCTAACTACCCTTGCCTCAGGGAAAAAATACTCAGAGAAGGTGCCCGATACATTAATTCTAGTTTTCCTGTTATCTAGAAAGTTGGAAAGCCAGTGAATAATACCTCACGGTAGTTTCATTTTGGACATTTGGAATTTTAATAAATTTTGTCATACGTTGTTAAAGGCTTTCTCAACATCGAGAAAGCAAGAGACAGTGCATTCATTACGATTAAAACTGTCCACTATGGTTTCTGTACATCTTACCAGATAGTCTGTGGTTTGTCTTTTTTTCCGGAATCCATTTTGTATTTCTATTAATTTTGATGTCAGTTCGAGATTGGTCAATAGTCTGGAACTGATTATTTTTTCTAGAAGTTTGCCAATACAGCTGGTTAGGCTGATTGGTCTGTAGCTTTCTGGTCTATTTGCTGGCTTTACTTCATTCAGAAACATTAAGACACCAAGCAGCTGGTATGTAGCCTGATTTGAAGGACAGATTGAATATTGCCGCTAGATGCTCGTAAAATTGCAGTGGGCCTTTTAAAATTAGTATGTATTGTATCTTGTCATGGATCCTTGTGTTTTTTGTCTTTTTAAGAGTGTCTTGTATTTATTTTACTGTTATTGGTTTAATGAGTAGCTGTGTTGTGTTATCTTGAGTTTTAATACTTTACCTGATTTGAAGGACAGATTGAATATTGCCGCTAGATGCTCGTAAAATCGCAGTGGGCCTTTTAAAATTAGTATGTATTGTATTTTATCTTATCCTGGAGCCTTGTTTTTTGTCTTTTTAAGAGTGTCTTGTATTTCTCTTACTGTTATTGGTTGATTGAGTAAGCTTTGTTGTGTGTTATGATTACCGGTTGGCCCTCTCGAGGTGCGACAGGAATGATAGGTGGGGTTAATGTAGTTGTTAATTTTATTGTAGAACGGCTTGTTCATTGTTGGTTCAGTTGGTGTTTTGTAAGTATTTTCGAAGTGTTTTCTGAATACTTCTGTTTTTTTGTGTGTTTGTGTTGGCTATGGTGTTATTGTGTTGTAGTGTAGGATATATGTGTATATTTTTATTGTTTTCAGTGAATCGTTTCAGTTGGGACCAGAAGTCTTTTGGGTCTATGTGTGTTAAGTTTTGATCAGTATTCTTCCCATTTGTCTACTTTGAGAATTTTTATTTAATTTCTTATAACGTTTCTGAGTGTATATACTGTTTATTTCTCGGTTTTCTGTGTTCATATATATTTTGCGAATTTTTACTGTGATTAGTAGTTGTTCGTGTGGTTTCCATGTATGTTTATGATGTTTTTGGGATACATATGTCTGCAGAATTTATAAGGCACTCTGTGATTATACTGGAGTAGCTATCAACTAAGGAAAGGTTTCGGCATCAGGCCCGTACGCAGAATGTTTGAAATATTGAGGGGGGTGTTCTAATTTGTGAGATCAAAAGCCAACATATATTGTGGTAAACACAATCAGCATGTAAAGCATGCTAATGCTACAGGGGTATAGGGGCATGCAGCTATTTCAAGCCAAAAATGCTAGTGCTTCATTAGAAGTGTGTAGACTATGTAGAAAACGTTGAACGCCATAAGCAGCTGCGACGTAACTATATAAGCATGATTTTTTACATTACGAAAATAGGCGGTTCGGACGAACCCCCCTGCGTACGTGCTTGGACACTGTTGATAATCTTCTCTGGGTGATTTTTGCTTAATATTTTCTGGTATTTTGACCAGTTAGTTTTATGTAGTTGGTCGTCCGTTTTTTATTTTTCTTTTGGTCATGTGACCTGAAAGGATCATGTGCACCCTCTGCCTTCCTCCTTGACTGTTGATTTAGTTCATGGATGACGTAGATGAAACCCACGGTATATGTATTTGGTACAAATATGAATCCCTGCTTATGAAATTCCCGAGCGAGACGTTAGATCGTAAATTTTTGTTGTAATATTGTCCATCATCATTCCGCTATATGTTGTGATACAGTAAATCAATTATTTCAGCCTCACGATGTCAGAGAGACCTGTTTGACAACATGGCAGCATGTACTGTCGTAGTTGGGGGAAATCCAGATTATTTTATGGATTTAATAGATAGCATTGACTCTGATGAGTTGACGCAGTGAACAGAACAAACATTTAGAAGCCATTTGCGTACCAACCTCAGTGAATGGGTTAATATGCCCAAAACATCTACTTACAATTGCTTGTCTGGCACGATATTCTTAATACACATACAGTACAAAAAACAAAACAAATCCAGTGTTTGAAGCAGATTCACAATAAATTACAGAATACTACAATAACAATCCAGTTAAAGTAATCTTAGCAATAATTCTATAGATAAGAGTTTAAAAAAAATTATACTTTCGTTGGTGACAAGGCAGGTCAGATACCAAAAGGTGTGGCTGCATTAACTACATCTCACTCAGATTTCCATAGGTTCAAAAATACTTTTTACAAATGTTAAAATTATCACTAACTGTCGTGCCAGATTACTTCTAATTTCACAATTTAAAATTAACATTAACCAAGATAAAGTTTAAAAGCATAACTGAAAATTGTATAAAGTTTTGAATAACTGAAAACTTACTTAAAATTGATTTCAATGTAAATACAGTCTTAAAGAGTTAAATATAATAACAAAAATCATCTCATTTAATTTTGCAACTACATTCTATTATTATTTTGAGCAAGGCAAGTCTTTAAAACAGTTTTGCATACTTCTTGCATACAAAACATTTTGTTTAAGTGGTACAAACTACTGTAAACTTGAGTTTTTTGGAGAAGAACAGATCATATAATGAGTATGTAATTAGTCAATAATGTGTCAGTTTTTTCACTCCAGATCTATTTAATACGAATCTCTTCATATTTCCGTCTGTATATAAATTAGAAATAAAAAAATTTCATTAATTCAGGAAGAAGTATATTTTGAGCATTGTGAAGGAAAGACAGGACATGTTGTTGTTGGTGGCTTAAAAAACTCTCGAACTGTGAGAACAAAATGGTGAAATATCTTCAACAGTGATTACTATTGTTTGATGGATCATCCGACTCTAAATTGAAAGAAATGTGAATTTAATTAATTCAGTAATATTTCTTAAATAAAGATTATCCTGAATACCAGCAAACTGATTTCAAAGATAATGTAATAAAAATATTTTACAACTTGAAAAAATACCACAATTGTACTTGAAGAGATGTTTATGAATAATAACTTGTGAACACATAACAAAAAAATTATTTTTATTAATTTTAATTTAACTCTACAATTTCCATGAAACCTTCCTAATTTAATTAAAAAGTACAATAACAGCAACTTTTACAGTAGGAAGTTCTGGTATTAATGATTACATCATTTTGACCCATAGTATTGGGTCATCACTGGGTAACAGTTATATCAATAAAGTAGTTTGAATTTCAGAAAGCTTTACAAGTTCGTGATTGTGAGGACAAAGGTTTCTCGGTGGTGCCAAATTAGATTTTTAGTAGAATGAGGTGGACAAGTTATTAATTTTGATAAAGGTGGGTTCCTGGATAGGTTTGGCTTTGATTACTTTAACAATAGCATTCTTCTATTGATTTCATACTGTAATAATTAAAACCAGAACTTCCATATTGCTGTTACTGTAGTTTTGAATTAATTAATTAATTACTTGGTTTGTCACCAAACATTTGTTCCTAATTTAAATATTTTGTGTTTCTAAAGTACATTACATCTATATTTAAACATGATGCATTTTTAATGTGCATTATCTTGTAATTTGAATGTCATGTATTTATAAAATATGTCATCTCCTCAATTGATACTCATTTCAAGACACTAACTTAATGAAACTACTTTTAACAACGGAAACATGTGAACAGAGTGAATGTATGAAACTTTGTAAAATGGATGGCAACTACTTGTTGTAGAGACACAAGTGTAGAGGACGACATTTTGAAAGTCTTCTGCATTTTGTCTTCAGGCGGAAGACTTTCAAAATTTCGTCCTCTACAACAGGCAGTTGCCGTCCATTCTACAAAGTTTCATCATGAATACTCTGACTAAACAATCTATCAAAGAGTGAATGTATGGTCCAAAAAAGTATTAAATTTATGAACGTGATCATTACTTAAACTTCCTTACCTGAAATAGGAGTCTGTTCATACAATGAAACTTGTCTGAAAAACCCTGGAATTTTGCTAGGTCCTGGAGAAGGAATTTCCATTGGATATTCTGCTTTTACACCCCATGTTTCTAGCAGATGAACATATGTAAACATATTGTGAAATTTTCATAACATTTAAAGAAAAAACAAGATTAATGACTCAATAAATCAAACTGAAGAAAACCCAACAGCCTGAAACAGACACTGCTTCTTCAGTGGTGCTAATGCTTTCTTAAACTTTTGTAGAGAACTATACAAAGATTAAAGCACTCTGAAGCTTCACTAATGTAGATATATTCATGTTTCTAATACTGAACAAATAACGTTTAGGGATAAGCTTATTAATAAGAAGCATTCTGATTTACCAAAAACAGGTAAAATGGAAGTTAAAGAATAATTTAAACAATTTGATTTTTAAATATTATACATTAAAAAAGTAATATTAAAAACAAAGAAAGAAAACAACTGTATGTAGTTTATAAATGACAAAAAAAGATTCATGCATAATGAAAAAGCAAGAACAAGAATTTATGCTTTATTATAGGGAAAAAAACTGTTTATGCTAATTTAATCCACACATTACACATGAGAATAGAAGAAAAATACTAAAGTCTATTGTCATGTCTGGGCATAATTATTACACATTATTGTTTTGTTTTTGTTTTTCAATCACCCATTTTTAATATTAACCATGATCTCTTGCATGCTGTTTAATAATTTCTGTCCATTGAATATAATCTTGGTCACTTTCAGCTGCTACTATATGCTCTTGTGCCTTTCCATGAACCATATTCACAAGTTTGAAGCTATGAGGGTAGATGCAGGATGCCACTTCAGTTTGTAACCTGGTGTCCTGCAATTTAAATACCATAACATATATGTAGTAAATTACTGTGCATGATAATTCGTTTGTTTTTTATGTTGTTAGAAAATACTAAAACAGCAAAAGATTTCATTACCCAATCATGTTTTGTTACATAACACACAGATAGCATATTGTTTCTTAATGTAAAACAAAATCTTCAACTAACATTAGGGACATTCAGTGTTTGGTGTTATTTTATTGTTTATTTAAAGTCAGTATCAATTTACTCTTTTAGTTATTTAAGGATCAATTAATTGCAAGATCTTCACACTACTAAGGACAATTTGAGGTATAAGCATTCTATTGTGAGTTATTCCCATCTATTCTGAGATAAAATTGTTACCAAAACAGTTTTTCAAGTAATTCACCTAGGCTCCGAAAATCTCTGAACTTAATACTAATTGAAGAGTTTTTGAATTATGCTTTTAACTTTGAATACATTCATTTTTAAAAGGACAAATACAAGAACTGGGGAAGTTGAGGATTACCAGATTTAGCTCAATTAAAAATTCCAAACATCAACTAAAAAGTTTACTTGTATGAAACTACTTTTACAGTGTCAGCAACTATTAAGGTTTTCTTAAACATACCTTATTAACTGGAATATCTAAAACAGGTGGAGTATAATAGGAGTCTTCGGGTTTTAGCCAGAAAGATAATTTTAAGCTTTTTAGTGTACACCAGAGTCTTCTATAGCCACTGATGCTGTCAGCTTGCTGTAAAACACAAAAACAACAAATAAGAATACATTATGATATCACAAGAACGTCAAAAAATGTCGTTAATATCAGAGTTAATCAGGCTGGCAGGATTACAGCATCTAAAGAGCTAGTTGAAACAATGCATGTTTTTATAATATATATAAATATACCAATGCTTAACCTCATCAGGCCAACAGTGTTACAACATCCAAAGAGCTAGTTGAAATACTGTATAGATCTATCAAATTCATCACACTGACAGTGTTACAATATGTTAGACATACCATTGAAACTGACAATTTATTATCACTGTTAGGCAGTAAGCAAGATAAAGTGTCACAGTAAAACAATAGATGTTGTAAATAAATTTACTCTTAATAACTGAAGAGATAGTTATCATTGTTTTTTTTTTTTAAATTAAGTACAAAGCTACACAATGGGCTATTTGTGCTCTGCCCACCACAGGTATCGAAACCCGTTTTCTAGCATTGTAAGTCTGCAGACATATAGCTGTGCCATTGGGGGGGCGATAGTCATCATACATCACAAGATAACTGTATTTCCTTTATGGAAATTAGGTTTTCTTTAAAACTCTATTCAATTTAATTTAATAAATACTGAAACTAATATAATTTATAGTTTAGATGAACTTACATGAGCAACATGAAGAAAACCAGAAAATATTTCTTCTTTGATAAAGATGGGTTGTACTGCTAATCGACAACACAATTGTCCAAAAAAAGGTAATTGATGCTGAGGGTTATCCAAAGTTTCTAACACTAAGTCATGAGTCTTTATTACATCATCACTGTCACTGAGCATCAATGTAGTGTGAGCTACAAGTTCAAACTGTGGAACTCTGCTAAGACAGAAAAAATAACAATACTGACAAAATGCACATTTTTCTTGTCCAAAATAAGTATTTTTTGTGTAAAACTTTTAAAATGGTAGTTCTAAGAGGTTTTAAATTTCACCTATTCTTTCATCTGAAAATTTCTGATATTAATTTAATTTAATTTAATTCATTGTGCAATTTTATTTAGACAAACCAACATTTCTTAAAAGAAATTCACATCTACAATATTCTTCAGAATTACTGAATATCCAGTTACATACCATATGAGCTCAGTACAATGCCTTTATGTAAAAATATTATGAAAATCAGAGTAAACATCACTAGAATAAATATTCAAATTAATGTAGGGATTTTTCTTTATAATAAAAGATGAATGAAAAAATAGCATGTTGCAACAGGTGTATAATACATCAACAGTGTATGTCACTATTACAAGGAGAAAAACAGTACTTACATGTCAACAGAGTTCAGTTCTTCTTTCTGAAACAGAAAAGATAAATCAATGAATTACACTGGTATTTAATATGTTTGGAAGAAAATAATGCAAATTGCATAGAATTATTTTTTCCATAAAGTATCATGATGTTAAACTGACCAGTTATCAGTCTTTCTGTTTTATATACACATGTAGCAATGTTAAGAAGATTTCCCTATTGAAACTGACCAATTATCACTCTTTCTGTTTTATATATACAAGTAGCAATTTAAGAAGATTTCCCTTATTGAAACTGACCAGTTATCAGTCTTTCTGTTTTATATACACAAGTAGCAATTTAAGAAGATTTCCCTATTGAAACTGACCAGTTATCAGTCTTTCTGTTTTATATACACAAGTAGCAATTTAAGAAGATTTCCCTATTGAAACTGACCAGTTATCAGTCTTTCTGTTTTATATACACAAGTAGCAATTTAAGAAGATTTCCCTATTGAAACTGACCAGTTATCAGTCTTTTTTGTTTTATATATATATATATATATACAAGTAGCAGTTTAAGAAGATTTCCTTATTGAAACTGACCAGTTATTAGTCTTTCTGTTTTATATATACATGTAGCAATGATAAGGTTTTCCCATTGGAACTGATGAATTATTAGTCGTTTTATTTTGTACATACATACATGTAGAAATTCTAAGAAGATTTCTCTGTTGGAAACTGTTTCTTCAATAGTATTCAGCAGCACAGGAACAAGGGGAAGCAGGAGGAGATCACTCCCTCTATATTTAAATAGATGAAGTAAGCAAGAGTGGCCATAATCACCCTCAAGTAATAGTATTCCTATGGGAACCAAAACATCAGTCAGTTTTCTATTTTGAGACTGAATTGCTTAGAGAAGGAACATTTTTTCTATCTCAGACTAATGCCAACCAAGGTTATGTTTTTTACTCGAATCAAGACAATTCAGCTCACTGTTAATGTGAAATTGAAGTATCTTGTTATGCCAATATCACTTTTAGTGCATGTAAGTTTACACTGTGCATCTTTTCAAAATTCAAATATTTGGCATAACATATATCAATTCCACTATGGCACCAATGAAAATTGCAGTCTCTTGCCCATTGGAATAATTAGTCCTTGACCAATAGTGCTAAACAGCAACCATAAAAATCAAATGCTAATGCAAAAATGTATCACTGTTCATGGTATTAACAGTACATTTCCATTTCACATGTAGTGATAGTTCATTTAAAATTCACCATATTAATATATACTTTTCTTACAGCTACATATAAGTCTGGAGCTAGTACAGTTTCCAGTGTTATACATGTTCTCAGAAGACACCTGGTGATGTGGTGAGACAGATTCCTCCTAATATATCATACAATATACCAGGAGCTAGGAAAGAGACTGGTTTAAAAATTACTCCTTCCTTCATTATGACACAATTACAGACCGTTTTTTGTAAGTGTTGTTTCAGAAACTGAGTTAAGTTATATGACAGAAGCAACAAGTAGAGAAACTGATCTAGTTAATAGGTTTTGAATCTACAAGCAACACCGGTAAAGAACGTATTTTTTGTTGTTGTTGCAAACTTATCCAGTTAGCATTCCTTTTGTTTTGTATGTACACGTAACAATGATAAAGAATGTACTTTTGTTGTTGTTGCAAACTGATCCAGTTATCATTCCAACAGAACAATATATACTAACTGCAACACTAACACCACTTGTAGTTCAATAGAATAATATATACTAACTACAACACAAACAGCACTCGTTGTTCGCTAGAATAGTATATACTAACTGCAACTAAAACACTAATACCACCTGTTGTTCAATATAATAGTACATACTAACTGCAACTAAAACACTAACACCACCTGTTGTTCAATAGAATAATATATACTAACTGCAACGTCAAACTAACAGCACTTGTAGTTCAATAGCAAAATATATACTAACAGCAACTACAAACTAACATCACTTGTAGTTCATTAGTGTCATGATATAAAAGACTATTTGGTTTAAATATCAGTGATTAATTTATATTTGTGAGTGAATATTTTATTATTTTTAAGTTTTGTTATAATAAAAGTTAAAAGCAGACGATTGTAGAAGGTTTTGTTACTAACTAATTGGTGTCGAGAATATAGAAAGTGGCCAGACGACTATGTAATAAAGATATAAATAGCGCGAGACGAGCGAGAACCAGCAGACAGACGGTATTAGACAGATAGAAGCAAAGAGAATGTAGATAGTGTAAAGTTAAGTAACGTAAAAGTGATAAGCCTAACGACTGACATAGGCCTAACCTTTGATATATATATTACAGTGGAAAAAGAAATAAGAAAAATAAGTTTATTCCGTCAAAGCGAAACTCTAAAGTAATTGAATCAGCCTGAATGCACTTTGACAAAAAGAACATAGGATCTTCAGAAAAAAGAAGACCACAATCGTAAGTGAATCACACCAGACTAATATTGCGATAGCATTAGAGAAAATGGTTGGGCTTGTCAACTGAGATTCTAAAGTAATTGAACAGGCGTAAGTGGACTTTTGACAAGAAGAGGAGAACTATATATATATATATATATATATATATATATATATATATATAGTATATAACTTACGTAATATATAGTCCTATTAATTCTT